AAACAAGGTGCTATGCAAAAAAATAATCCCCCACACACCACCCACTCTCTCATTTCAAGAGGGTTTTTTGAAAAGATGTGGAATATGTGTGCTCAGAAGACAAGACTACCAAGAGATAGGAGTACTTCAAAAGCACTATGGAAAAAAAAAGTGACAATTTTGCTGGGGTTGAAAATTTACAAAGAAAAATAAAGTCTGTCTAGATAGACAGCAGCTGCAAGTGATCCAGATAGATCATGAAGACATGATAGATAATGCAAAAGTTTTATTTTTTTTATTTTTAGAAGGGACAGGTCTTTTACAAAATAAGTGCAATTTGGGGGAAGTTTTAAAATGTAGATTTTTTTTTTGTAACATTCCTGGCATTTCTCCATGTAATTTTCGTTTTCAACTTCTGCTCAACCCAGAATCCAACCTTTTCAATGGTTCAGGTTTTAAAAACACCTAAGCTGAAATTCTGTGTATCACTGTCTTTTTTTTGGTGGGGGTCCGGTCTTGGGGCCTGAACTCTGGGCCTGGGAACTGTCCCTCAGCTCCTCAGCTCAAGGCTAGCACTCTACCACTTGAGCCACAGTGCCACTTCCAGCTTTTTTCTTTTTGCTTATGTGGTGCTGAAGAATTGAACCCAGGGTCTCATGCATGCAAGGCAAGCACTCTACCACTGAGCCACCTTCCCAGCCCCTGTATCATTGTCTTTACTGTCCTTTAGCTTATATTATGAAAATTAGTTGCAGAAGAAAATCATCTCATCACTCTGTTTCTCTCTGTAACTAGTGAAGGGCTCAGAAATCACCTGGATTCTACGCCATACTGCCTGGGTATGACATGTGAATGGCTTACAATTTAGTTCAGTGGCCATGGAAGCCTACTTACCCTCTGACTGTTTCATTGTCTGCACCATTGGGGTAATAGTAGCACCTACCTGAGTATGAGGAGTTGATCAATGCAAAACACAAAAGACTGTGTTTTGTTTGATTTTAAATTATTTTTTTAAATTTTTTAAAAATTTCTTTGTGGTACTCAAATAATTTTCAGCATTGCCAATTTATGCAGGTATCTGACATACATATGTGGCTCTAATTTTAGTGATGTGCTATTTTTTAAATGAAATATAGATTAGAAACTAATTCAATGAACATATATGTATACATAAACACACACTGTATGTATAACATCATTGTATGTGTAATTTATCATAGGTTTTTTGGTTACCAATCAATTTATCATAACATGCATGCATACACAAATATATGAATAAATATGATAACATATATTCTAGCATGTTAGTTGCTAAGCAAATGATGATATGAAATATACACCTATGCATATATATATAATACATATATTCTAGAATTGTAGTTACTAATCAAATGATTGGGACTAACTGATCATATTTAAGATGCTTTTTTATACTATTCAATGTTCCACTCCATTACCATGATAATTATTTCCCCTTGGGGAACACTCTCCCGGGTTTACTCTGGGAGATTTTCACGGAGCCATTCCTACCCCAGTGCTGGATGTGGGCTTGCAGTGCAGGCCTGACCGTGGGAGCAACCCCTCTTCTTGGATGCAAGGATTTCAGTCAGAGCCAATGTGTATTCAATCTGAGGCTCTGATTTAGAACTGTTGGTAAAAGAGAACTGGTGTTTATATTGGGATAGAGGAGAGACTGAAATCTAAGCCTGGAGCTGCTGAACGTTCCCTTATTGCCAAGGAAGGAGCGGGGCTGAATCCAAATGGAGAGCCAGGGAGAGCAAGACCAAAGCCTGAGGAAATGAGACATCTCTCAGGCAGTTCAGTTTTGTGAACTTTACTTGAGACTTGAAAAGCATGGAAACTGTTTGGAATGGCCAGGCTAGGACGTAAATAAAAGATCAATACCTAGAAATTAAGGGAAAACCTTAGCTACCAGGACACTGAGGTGAACTCAGTCCAGTCTGGCCTCCTATAGTGGCATCCATCAGCCATGCTCAGGGTGACATGCAGTGTCGGTTGTGCTGACCACAGAAAGAATGGGAAGCCCTGACAATGTGAGACTGTCTAGGGCACACATTTCTTTTGTTTTGAACTTCCATGGTATAGGAATCCACTTTTACCACCCTGCTTATTGTCCACAGGCCTAGAATTTTGCTGCCTGTTACCTTAGGCATTCAAGAGTTCAATTTTAGGTTGATGGAAAAACGCAGCAGAGAGTGTAAATAGTTTCTTGTATCATTAGCGAGTTGCATTAGGGTAACACATTAGTTATGATTGATGAGCACATCTTGAAGCATTATTATGAACGGATAGTCTGTAATTTCTATGAGGGTTCACTATTTCTATGACTATTGGCAAATGCATAGGTCTGGTGAATCCAGATATTAAGCTGTAATGATGCTGTAGGCCTCAAGCAGATTTTTACTGCCTTCAATATCCCTGGGCTCCACCCATTCACCTCACCTTTTGGGGCCATTGTATTTGTTTTCACTCCTTTTCTTCTTTCTACGTTTTCTATTGAAGTTAGTTAGCTATACAGAGGGGACTCATTTCGACATCTGTATACGCATATAATGATCAGACTCACTTCTATAGCTATCACTATCCCTTGGCTCTGTTCCTTCACTCCCCAAGTTTCATGGTTCCATTCCACTCATGCACACAGCACATTTGCCCTCTGTCCACCCTCTCCATCCTTGTTGCTCTCTCCCGGTGGTATCCACACTCCAGTCATGACCTGTTTTACATTCTTTTCCTTCCTTTTTGAAAATGTACATTAATTGGTCAAAAAGGTTTCACCAGAGAATTTCATACATACATAAATAACATTTAAAAATAGCCTACTCATTTTTAAACTCCTTTATATCTCTAACATCCTGCTTAGAAAACTGACAGCCACTCCCCAGACATACAATATTTCTTTTGATCCACTAGCTCATTCATGTTTTTCTACATACAGCACTTGTTTTTTTCAGGCTCATCTCGATATTTCCATTAATTTTTCCAAAATTTTATTCAAGTCTACCTCCCTGATTACGGCCGTGCTTTCCTGATGTGAGGTTTTCTGTACTCTTACGTAATTGTCGACAAATTCATCAACCTTGATATGAGTGTTTTAATATGCTCTTGTTCCTCACCTGGCCTTTCCAATCTCAGTAGTCACAGCATAGTGCAGAATAGCAGCAATGAAAAGCGTCAATCTTACATAAGCAATACCTTGATTGCTCAGCACTTTTTTATCCATCCTGATATAGCAGTCACTCTCATTTTCCTCTGTATCTATTCTAATCTTTACCCTCCACCCACAGGCTTACATAATATCTGTAGCCATCACTGTCAGCAGACAGAGACATTTACCCATATTTTTGTGAACTTCGTGAAGACAAATTTAAGTCAGTATAGCTAAGTAATTATAAATATACCTAGCCTATTTCCCAGAATTAGATAGCTACTTGTTAAGTGATCATGTTTATTCACCAATATGGCTCTGTGTTTGTGTGTGTGTGTGTGTGTGTGTGTGTGTGTGTGTGTGTGTGTGTATGCTGATCCTGTGACCTAAACCCAGGGCCTGAACCATGATCCTCAGATCTCAACATCCTGAGAAGCTAGGATTACAGGTGTGAGCCACTGGTATCTAGTGACAATGTGGCATTTAAAAAGAAATTAATGGTATACATTTTGCTTATAGATTATGATTTCATCATGCACCCATATATACTGATAAAATGTTAACAGCATAAGTTTGACCAAACTGAGACCTTCAAAATGCTTTTATGCTATAGAAAATATTTTAAGTATATTTATTATTGTTAAATAGTTGTACAAAGGAGTTGCCATGCATCAGAGCAGCTTATGAATCCAGCGCATTTTGACCAATGTCATTCCTTTCCACATTCTCATCCACCCCTCTCCACCCACCCCTTCCTTCACTTTTCTTACTTTCTAGGTTGTATATTGAATTTTTTGACATTTAACAAAGAAGTTTATGTCTAATCTTGATTGTGTCACCCCCTTCAACATTTTTATCCCCTTTCCACCCACCCCCTCCCCTTATTTTTCTCCATTCTGTGGTATATGCAATGAATTACTGTGTGCATTCTGACCGCCCCCCCATTCTTCTATCTTTCTTCACTTGGCTCTACTCTCTCCTCTTACAAGTACCCATTTCCTGGTACCTATTTTACTGGGCTTTGACTCAGTCATTTACAATACTTGATAGGCAATGGACTCATTACATCACTCATGTAATTGTAACCCCTCTGGACAGTATATTTACAATACAAATGCATATTAAAATAATTATACTATTTGAGCTCTCCACAGAGTCTATTATACATCAGTTAATTCATTTGTAATCACTTACATCCCACCCAGTGTGGTTACTTAATAGATGTACGGGCACATTCTAGGTATCACAATGAGGGAAATCATGCAACTTGTGTTTCTCTTGGTCTGGCTTACTTCACCTAATGTATTTTTCTCGAAGTCTTTCCATTTCCTTACAAATGGTACAATATTCCTTCTGATGCATGAGTAGATTTCCATTGTGTATATAAACCATGTTTTCTTGATCCATATGTTGATTCCATATCTTGACTATGGTAAACAATGATGCAATGAACACAGTTGTACCAGTAGCTTTAGTGTGGGCCTTGTTTGTGCTCTATTGGATAAATGGCCAGGAATGGAATTGCTGAGTCATAGGGTAGCTATATGTTTAGTCTTTTAAGGACCCTCCATCCTGCTTTCTTCAACATTTCTGACCATAAAGGAAATGTAAATCAAACCACACTGAAATTCCACCTCATTCTAGCTAGAATGGCCAATATCAAGAAAATTAACAACATCAAATCCTGCTGTGGATGTAGCTAAAAGAGAACTTTATTCCACAAACTTCACTAAGTGATACTGGGTAATATTTTTGTTTGCATTCAACATCATAACACACTGTTTTATATCAGGTTTTTAAAAATATGAAAATAGCATTCATTTAGGTATAAAATGAATAAATGAATCTTTACCTTAAAAACTAGCTCTCCTACGAGTCCATTCCATGTCCCATCCTCTTGAGGGCTTCCATATTTGTGGTCCGGAGCAACATAAATTTCATAGTTAAAACCCAGGTAGTTTGATAAGGCATCCAAAACGTCAATGGAGAAACCTTGGTATTTCTTCGGCTTACCCAAGACATTTTCAGAGACCATCACAAAGGGCTCTTCCTATATGGAGATAAGAAAAATCTTGTTGTCAACCAATAAATATGCCTAAAAGGCATAATTAATTCTTGAAAAAAATTTACATATAAAACCCAAACATTGTTTTATACTTTGAAAGAATTAACTTAAGGATATAATTTGTATATTATCCATGCCTCACATTGTTAAATATGTTCACTCACTCAATTTTTTTGTCTTCTTATGAAACTGTTGCCATATTAAAAAATGGTTTCTTACCATCTTAGGACCAATTTAAGATTAATCAATAATACTATAATACATTATAATATCATATTATTATACATTATAATGTCTTTATGTATCATAAAATTGTAATACCACTATAAGAAACTGTGGTTTTTCTGTTATCTATTTTTAAGTATTTTTTATTATTTATATAAAAATACCTAAAAGTGTTAATGACATAATCAATTTGAAACTCTTTGAAAAGACCAAATAGTTTAAAGCTGTATAATTTATCTAAAATATATAATAACATATTTAATGGAATTATTAGTTAAATTATTTTGTAACTAAATTTATGCTTATCACCTATAATTGAATGTGAAAACACACACCACAACCATAAGAAAATAAACCAGGCACCAGAGGGCTTGCCTGTAAGTTCAGCACGTGGTTGGTATAGACTGGAGGATTATGAGATCAAGACCAGCCAGGGCTATAAATTGAGTTCTAGAACTTCTGCATATATACTGGGAAATCATTTACTTTTTATGAGCTATTTAATTTAAACTATTTAGCAAATGGTTCTCAGCCTCTACCTTACATTTTGTCTTTTTAAAGCCACAGAACTTTCGCTTTGAATACTCACTCTTAAGAGAGTACAGTTGAGTTGAAACACACTATCTTATGACAGAAAATTAGAAAATATATTTTTTAAGAGAAATGGCAGCGGGGGGAGGAAGAGTGAAGCATTCTTGTTCTCTAAGCAGGAAATGAGACTTAAAGACTGTCAAAAAATCTATTTCTTAATTTCCTCAACTTATCAAAAATCTTTCAGCAGTAGTTATAATTTCAGATAACCATCATACAGTATATAGTTCACCTACCTCTGTGCAGACTAAACTCTATCTTTGGGCCTAAGCCAGAATTCCTATAGATATTTCTTTAAATCATTTTTCCTTAGAGAAACATAAAACAGCTTTCATTGAGATGTAAAATAATTCTTTGCTTTTGGCTTTTCACCAAAAACAACAATAAGATTCTTATAAAATCATTGTACCTGTTATAGAAATAATGTCCGTAATAAAACTCTTCTTTAACCATGAATTTGAGTTGCTCAGGGCCAGCGTTTCAAAAGGTATAGCCATGTCCTTTTTAAAAATGAAGGAAACAGACTGGGAAGGTTACTCAGTGGTAGAGTGCTTGCCTAGCATGCATGAAACCCTGGGTTCAATTCCTCAGTACAGAAAAGGCTGGAAGTGGCGCTGTGGCTCAAGTGGTAAAGTACTAGCCTTGAGCAAAAGAAGTTCAGGGACAGTGAGTACCCAGGCCCTGAGTTCAAGCCTAGGATTGGCAAAAACAAAATGAAGCTATTGAAGCATCTATTTTCACTTTGTTTTACCCAGAAAGTCAGTGCAATATTTCATGTTCATCTATAACAATGTGGATCCTTTGTTATTCTCCAATATTTTGAGATATTTTTTCCACTTTAGCACTAGCACAATAATATGATCTGCAGTCTTGCTTCAGGAAAGGAAAAGTGATAGGTCCAAGTCGGACCGATGCAATGTTTGCAAGGTGATTGGCACAGCATTTCTTGCTGTGATTCCTACAACTTGCCCACTGGAATGATCACTCAACAGCTGTGCCCTCGAAATAATAGGCCCTTGAAGTGACATCATAAGTTTCAGGAATGAGATAGAATCTATGTCCCTAACACTTGTAATATTGTACTACATCAGGACTGCCTCTCAAGGATTAGAGAATTGTATGAGAAAAGAGAAATTCCTGTCTTTTCATGGTAAGCTATTGCTTTTCCTTTGCTATAGTAATATTTGGTGCTAATATTTGGATATTGAAAAGTTATGAATCAATATATAAATGTAGAAGAATTAATCAAAATGTGATACTTTGATTTGTTTACTCTAAATGACATCATAATGCAGGAAGGATGCAAGTTCAGTCTTATTATATGTACGATAAAAACCCATCTTGATGATTTCAATTTCTTTATATGTTTAAAGGTGAGTAGATAAGACTTTTAGACAATTGGAAGAATGTGTTACTCTTCACTTGGTTGTTTGAGTAAAATATAGAGCTAGTCAATGAGTATGCATTGTGAAAACATTCTGAAGTCCTGAGGTTATTAGACTCAGAATGATTTAAGCTATCCCAAACTTAACTTCAATTTCAGGAAGTACATAATTATGACCACAATGTTATATAAATAATCAGGTCTTAGAGGTTTATCATGGTATAAGTAATAGTAACAAAAATAATTATCTATTTTTTCATTCTTCATTTCTAGATTATAAACCATTGGCAATGGCAATCCAACTCAAAGAAGATTCGTAAATGACATTGATTGATTCTCCTACCAATAATTTTGGGCAAAGGACATTCTCTACTTTCAAGAAGCTATTCAGCAGTGATCTGACCCTCAGGGAGCATACTAAACTCCTGAGGCAAATAATGCTTAAAATAATTAAGATGTTAACTGTATTTCATAGTTCAATGTAAGATGTGGCAAAATAATTTTCCAATGTATACTTTGAAATAAACTGTTAGTGATTTCACTTTAACTCCTCTCTTTAGAGTAATTATTTGATATCCTAAATTATTATGCTTGCTTTTTGTACTATTTTGCCTTAAGAATGATTTTAATTCCATTTTTGTAAGGGCATACCTTCATAAATAGATCCCTTTCGCCAGTTTGTTGTCAAAATCTGTTCTTAGTAATGTCGACTAATTGATAAAAGGTACAGAATAGGAATGGTTATAGTAAGGTGCTTTTAAAGAGAGTTGATGAATTATTGATGAACATGCCTTTTAAATTTTATGCCCTAAATAAACCCTTATTGCATCCCATCATTTCTCATCTGGATCAATGGCTTTAAAGCTTTATTTTTAAGCTGTAATACAGATTGGATCACTATTTATGAATTCTAACTTTGGCCTGTTGTTGTCTTTGAAGACAACTAGCCAATATATCAGAGAGGCAAACACAGCAGCAGACATTAGATTAAAACTCTGGGAACTATAATAAAAGAGACACTTGTTTTTTCTCTGTGGCAATATTTAGCTTGATTTAACAAAGGTTATATATATATATATATATATATATATAGGTATATATATTTATATATACCTATTTCTAAAATTAATTGAATCATTGAGTTTTCCATTTAACATCCATTGAGCAGCTACTGCATCAAGGTATTACATAAAATATAGTGGTATGATATCATAGGCACCACGTTCAAAAGAATTTTATAACCAGTAGGGGGAAATGAGAAGTCAATTTGCTCCCAAAATTCAAGTTAAAACAAAAGCAACAGATATGAGACCAACCACGCCAACCACCAAGAAACACAGGACAACAGCAGAAGTTATTATTTAAGGGTTTACAAAGCTATACACTTTCTTAATAGATGAGATAACTAAGGTAAGACAAAGAATTTTAGCTCTAAGTTGCACAAGAGGTTATAGAAGAAGAAAGCAATAAAATCTATCTTACATAAACTTCACTTCTCTAAACCTCATTTAAAAAATTTGTGGAGGAGATGGGGAAAAACCAGTTGTTTAAGGATACAGGTGGACCTGTTGCAACAATGAGAAGTACAAGTTATCATGTCCAAAACGAGCTTGGGGGGGGGGGGGGGGAGGAGAGGATGGGGGAGGGGGGGGGGGGGGGAGGCTGGGAAGGGATGTGAAGGGTAAACAAAGGAGGAGGCTGCAATGCTTGGTAAGAAATGTACGCATTATCTTGCCCATGTAATTGTAACTCCTCTGTACAGTATGTTCACAAATAAAATTAAATTAAATTGAAAAAAATGTTTTGGATTAAAAGCCAAGACTATACAATTTGGCCTAACTTTTACCGCAGTGTAAGATAGTCCTAAACTCATAGAGGACCAGGAGATCAGGATGTTTGACACGATAAAAAAGAAAAAAAAAACGAGAAAAAAGAATCCAAAATTGCCTCACATTATTCCTTTAAGTAACTTCGGGATACAATGTTCCAAACAAAAATCAATGACAAGCTGGGGACTGGGAGCTCACACCTGTAATCCTAGCTACTCAGGAGGCTGAGATCTGAGGATCATGGTTCAAAGCCAGCCCAGGCAGGCATATCTCCAATGAACCACCAGGAAACCAGATGTGGTGCTCTGGCTCAAGTGATAGAGTGCTAGCCTTGAGCTGAAGAGCTGAGGGATAGCTTCCAGGCCCAGAGTTCAAGCCCCACGACCAACAAAAAAAAAAGAAAAAAGACAACAGATAAATAATGTTTCTGATAGTAGAACCAGCAGACACAATAAATCACATAAATATATTTCAAGAATTTAGATATTAGCATTTTCAAGTGCATATTTTAAATACTGTGTTTTCTAATTTTAGGACATAATAGCTTTTTTTTTTTTTTGGGTCCGGTCGTGGGGCCTGAACTCTGGGCCTGGGCGCTGTCCCTCAGCTCTTCAGCTCAAGGCTGGCACTCTACCACTTGAGCCACAGCACCACTTCCGGCTTTTTTTCTTTTTGCTTATGTGGTGCTAAGGAATTGAACCCAGGGCCTCATGCATGCAAGGCAAGCACTCTACCACTGAGCTACCTTCCCAGCCCGACATAATAGCTTTAAAAAAAAATTAATTGACAGGAAACAAGAAACTACATAAAGTATCAGCGCAGAGTTGAAAAAGAATCCTATAGAAATTTGACTATTAAAGGAGACGATTGCCAAAGAACTTAATGATTTATAGTTTAACAGTGTATAAACAGAAAAGGGAAGAATTAATGAGTTGTAATAAGTCAGAATTGAAAAA